AGAAAATAAGTTTGAGGTTCTTGGATGACTTAAGATGATAAAAACATTTTTCTTGAATTTTAAATTTTGATCTTAAATTTTTCACAAATTATTTTGTTAAACCTCTCTAGTTTGAGCCATTTGCCAACTAGCCTTGATAATTTCAAATCATTTTTTACCTTTCCAAGTTAACCCAAGAATTTAAAACCATGTTTATGACCTTTAGGGCCCTTTAGGAAGTTAGAATTAAATTTACAAGAATTTACAAGTCATTTTCACATTTCTAACCTAATTTTTACTTAGAAGTGTACATAGAATTTGCCTTGTCCAAAATGCTTTCAATTGTTGGTTTATATGCATAGTTTTAGGCTAATATTTTTATTATGATATGTTACTGACTTGTTCTTATCATGATCCATATTTCTCATTTTTATCATGCCTCTAACTCACTTTTCCTTGATCAATGTTTGCTTTCCTCTCATAGCCTTCTTTCTTATATGCTTTTTGTGCAATCTTCTTCCATTGTTTGTGATGCTTGAATGATTTTTTCTTAGATACCTTATGCTACTTAATTGCATGTCTTACTTCATATATCCATGTCCTCTCTTCATCTATATAATTTCTTGAGCTTTATTTGCCTTTAGGAACATGAAAGCATTTGTTTTTGACCTAGTTTTGCATTGGCTTTTGTTTATGTCAAAGTGATTATGCCTCAGGGATGATTATAGGTTTTAGAATATGTTAACATTGTATGCTTACTTCTGACTTCCCTTATATTTTACACTTCATGCCATGATTACTCAATCGTTTCTACTTCACAATCACTCTTTATTTTGCCTTAGTATATGTATGATATGTGTTGATTGTTGTTGAGGACCTTGAGTCCAATATTTTGTGCTTACGTTGTGATCTTAACTTATTATCTCAACTAAATTATTTATGCTCTTATGATCCTTTTAGTTGACACTCATTTGTCAACTAACATGGTGACCTAATAAGAGTTACATATGTCTAATTTCACTTGTTGTTTTTTTAGCATCATTGTCTAGTGACTGTCTCATAATCTTTGTGCTATGTCTCCTTGAGGTATCTTAATTTTGGCCATTTCCTATAACATCTAAGAACCTTGGTTTTATCTCTTTATATCACTTATGTTTGTATGCATTAGAGACTACAACTTTTACAAGTTGTCATGACACTTAAGCATGTCAAATCAATGACATTGATTAGGGTTTTGAGTTCAAGATAGATACTTTAAGAAGGATGTTATGCTTGCCCTAGGATTTATAAGTATCAATTTATATTCACTTTATCTTTCCTCTAAGCATGTCCCACCTCCACCTATCCTCTTATTGATCCTTCTTTTTCCTTTAGGGTTTATTTAGGGCATAGTTTTGGTCTAGTCTTGTCCTAACTCTTGAGTATGCTTTAATAAGATTACCCTAAGTTTTCATATACTATTGTATAAAATTATACTTAGTATCTTTTTTCTGACTTCACACATACTTGACACATTATATCATGATCATCTATCTACACACTTACTTTCACTTTATTCTATAACTTTGTTTTGACCTAGTTTGTATGCTTTGGTGTTGGTACCATGATCTCAATGACTAATTGAGTTTCATATTTATTATTTAGTATGTGTTGGGTGTATAACATTCCCATGTTTACTTTCACTTCTTCACATTATCTCTTTTATCTCACATGATTGTTTGTTAGCATTGCATGAAGACATAAGTCCACTTAGGGTTCTTCAACCAACTTCTCTTGTATGATTTGGTTGTGAATTTTCCTCAAGTTTTTTTATGTGATGATGATGAGAACTTGATGTGTTTACTTATGAATTGTATACTTCTTCATCTCTTTCACTTCACTTCACCTTCTCATACCATATTTTGTTAGGAACTTGACACATAAATGCTTTTATGCTAATGTACTTGCCTTGATCTCTTGTCTTGTGACCTTAGATCCAAACCACTTGTGCATAACCCTTAGGGATATATCTATATCACCTTGATTAAATGATTTTCACTCATCATTGATTGCATGTCTTATCATGATATGAAGTTTTGTCTTTTAAATGCATGTTTATGCTTCTACTTGTCTAGTTAGAGAATTTATTCACTTTCTTGACCCATGTTGTTATGCTTGGGGTAGCCTAAGGTATTTAACATGTTAAGATCACAACTAACACTTTGGCTCGACTTACTTTTTTGTCATACTCCCTTGATTGCTTATCATTGCTCACTTCCTCTCATTCTCAAATTCTTCAAGTTTGGTTGTAAGAGTTTCATCTCTTGTGTGCTTTATGACATGTATCTTGTGTGTGCTTGATGTTTTATCATCATGTATCTTGATGTATTGTCATCTATGTGATGTATTTCCATCTTTGTGATGTTTTGTCATCTTTGTGATGTTTTGTCATCCATAAATGATGTTTTGTCATCCATACTTGATGTTTTATTATCTCTTACTTGATTGATGTTTTATTATCTCTTTTCCTATGTGTGTTATCACATGGTTTCATGTGCTTGATGCTTTGTCATCTTTGTGTGATGTTTTATTATCCCTCTCCCATCTTTGTGTGTTTCCCCTTTTGTAGGCTCCCCATAAGATCTTGGGTTCATGCTTCTCTAGGCTTGAACTAAATAAACCTTAGGATCTTTATACGTGCATGACAACATTAGGTAGATGCTTCCCTCCTATCCAACTCTAGGATCAATATTGCATGATAACTTTAGGGTTATTTTGCTAGTCTCCCCTTATACTTTTTCTCTCCTCTTTTGCATTTGCATTAAAACAAAAACTTCTTTTTCTTTCAAACTCTCAAAACAGTTAATAATACTTTATGATAATTACACTCTTTACTAAGTATGGGAAATAATAAGCGGGTTTCTTCTCGATCTTATCGTTCTTTCGTTCTTAGTCTTTAGTTTGGTTCAAATCTCAAATCCTTTTTCAAGGCAAAAAACACCAACCAATGCAAATCTTTTTGTCTTTGGACTTTTTATTTTAAAAACATTTTCAAAAAGGACATGCATTGCTAGCATTGTCTATAAAAAACACACAATAGACAGAAACTTTTGAGCCGAACTATGGAGCTCTTATTCCTTAAAAGGGATATGTAGGCATCTGATCACGGTGCTCAGCCGAGCGAAAATTTGTAATTATTTCCTTCTTTTCCCCGTTTTTTCTCTTGCCTGCATTCCCTCTTTGCATTTTGTTTCTTAGCTTGTTAATCTTTAGACTTAGATTTTCATATGCCCTTATAATAAAATAAACTCAAGTGGATCTTGTGGAGTACCACAGATGTGAGGGGTGCTAATACCTTCCCCTTGCTTAACTGACTTCTTTACCCTTTTTCTCTTGGTCGTGAGACCATGTTCTTTCCTTCCCTCTGGTTTACTCAGTTTTTACTTTCCCTCTCTTGGGATAAATAACATTGATGGCATCTCTTTTGTCTTTTCGCATCCGTTCGCGCTTCGATGAAAATCCTAGATGCAACAGCTGGCGAATCTGTTGGGGAGAGGTTGACCAATTGTTGGTCCATCCTTATGCAAGTAAGTCCTAGCTTCTGTTTGTTCTCTTTTCTTTGAGTGCTTTGTCTGTTTATTTATTTACTATTTTATTGTTCATTTTCTTTTACACATTGCAACTTATTTCATGGTTACTTATACTCTGGATATTATTGTTGTGTTATTTCTTTATTGGGATGAGATGAAATATTGAGGTAAAAGGCCTAGTAACCAGACCAGAGTTTTAAACCATTAGGAACCCTAGGACTAGAGTGGGGACATGACGTCTACTGGACGAGGTCCTACTAGTGGGGTTATGTGTACCATGCTCATTTGAGGTACAAATGGGATATTTTCATCATACACCTCTGTGTTGTGATGATTTTACTTTCAGGCAGACCCATGATTCTGAGTCACCCTTGCATTACCCTGACTTAGACTTCACCCGTGAGTGGGGAGGGATGATTCTTACAGGTACCGTTGGTGAATTTGGTTATGTTGGTGACTTTAGTTCTGATGGTGACTTTGGTTTTGTTGGTGACTATTATTGGCAACTAGTCCGAGCTTTTGATCTCATGACTTATGACTCTATACAATAGTTCAACAGTGTCCAGTTTATGGAAACCTTGATCCTGTCATTATCGTATCATAACATATTTATTTTCATAAAAATGATGTACAAAAAGTTAACTAGCATATGAATCATCATTTTCCAGGGACATTCAAGAGTTAATATCTTCATCAGAGATGGTTGACAACACAGTTATCATCGCGAAGACTACAAGACACATCTTTTCCTATAGTTTATTGCATGAGGATTTGACACCATTAAGAAGTATCGGCGCTCAAGTTGTCGAGCACAGCTCGAAAAGCTTCACTCAAGATTATGGAAATATCATGTCTCTCTTAAATACTACCACTGAGCCATGGGCTCTACTCACTCTTCAACAGTTATGTGACCTGAAGTTGCACTACTTCGCTTTCCAAGGCTACGAGCCTCTTCTTACTCTAGTGGAGTATGCCTTCATTCTTGACATCAAGGTTCAAAACCGGGTTCCTTTTGTTGATGTTTCAGAGGTGTTTAATCTTGAAGCTGTCACTAAGGCTCTTTATTTGAGCCTCAACGATGTGAAAGAGAATTGGAAGCTCAAAAATGGTGTCTTTGGATTTTATTCCAATTTTTTGACGATGAAAGCTAAAGAGTTTGTGAGTGAAGGAAACTGGTTGGCCTTCAATGTTGTAGTGGCTATCTTGTTTTATGGGATATTTATGTTCCCAAATGTCACAAACCTTGTAGATTGCATTGTTGTTTATCTCTTGGATAAAAACCATTTGTCGAATCTCCTTGCTGATACGTACAACTCCTTTCACTCCTAGTCTTGAACAAAGGGGACAATTATTTGTTGTTTTCCATTATTGTATAAGTGGTTCATGTCTCATCTACCCGTAAGCGGACCGTTTTAAGACGTCTAAGACACTTACACATATAGTCAAAGAATCATGAGTCTCACTCATCATGATATAAGGTTGCATAACCCTGAGATAGATAACTCTGAGATCATTACGAGTTGTGGGGAGTTTCCTAACATCCCTCTCATTGGAAGAAAGGGTTGCATCAACTACAAACCTATGCCTGCACTTCATCAGTTAGGGTATACAATGGATGGTGAACCTTTAGACAAGGATGTTGAAGATTCTATTTTCTTTGGTAAGGTGGAAAATCCTGGAATGTTGAAGAAAGTACAACTAGATTGGACCAATATTCATAGGAAAGACGAAGTTCTCCTTGGTAGGAAAGATGCTAGTGTTGGGATTCCTTATACCAAATGGGTCATAAAGAGAGTTGAAACTCTGCTAGTTCCTTATCCCCAAGAAGAATCATTCCATTAACAGATTATATGTCAAGTGATGAAGACATTTGTATTATGTTAAGATGAAGTAGCTTTTGTCTTTATGTTGTTAATTGTTGCATGATCACCACCAGAATTTTTGGATGGGATCTTGATGTCGTATTTTGCTATCGTTAGTGTAAACTTAATTTATTTTGGATCTCTTATGATATAATAGTTTCTCGTCTGTATGAACTCATCTGATTTGCAACTTTGTTATGAATGAAAAAATTGTTTGCTATGATATCTCATCTTGACTATTGCTTATTTATGTCATCTTTTTGTTTAGTCTATCTTGATGGTTGACAAAACTCTTGAATATTTGGGAAATGACAAAACATAGCATGCATTATAGGTTTTTCAGACCAATTTTCTTATCTCTCGGTTCTGCTTCTTTTGAGCAAAATTCAGCCAAGGACGATCGGCCATGCCAGATGGAACAACTTCAAGTTGAGTTGATTGAGATGAAGGCTGATATGTGGGAATAGATAGGGCTGTTTATGGTAGACATACAGGGTTTGGTTTATGGTCAGGAACTTCTGAGAGAGGTGAATACCCAATTGAAAACCCATTTGAGTTTGATTATGGACATACTGAGAATGGTGTTGAAGGAAAAGGACAATCATACGCCTGCTGCTGCAACTGGAGTTGCCATCCTTCCCCATACTTTAGAGGATCCTTCAAGCCATGGAATAATTCATAGACATCTTCCACACTCTTGTGTTATGGGGTCTTCCTGTCTACATCTAGTCCCTGTTCCCCAAGAAAATCCAAAGGGCAAAGCCCATCAGCAAAGGCAGAAGCAGTCTAAGAAGAATTTGGATCCCTTTTCGATGTTCTATGCTCGGTTACTTTCTAGATTACTTGAACATCAGTTGATTGAGCTCTATAATGTGGGTGTTCCTCCTGCAAAGCTTCCACGGGACTATGATGAGAATGATAGGTCTGAGTTTCATTCTGGGGCACCTGGTCATTGTGTCGAGAATTGTAAGGTGTTGAAACACAAAGTCCAGGATTTAGTTGATGCATGAATAATTTTGGTTACTCCCAAAGGTATGAGCATACAAACCAAGCCTACCCCAACTGTTGCAGAAAAGATGGTAATGACTTCTCACCTTCGAGGCTCTACCTCGCATCTTGGGATACATCGTCCATAACCTGTACGCCCAAAATTTCCTCTACAACAGTCAGTGCCTCCTTCAAGAAATCAGAGTCAGATGGTTAATTGGAATTGGTATCATCCTTATGCTCATCCAATTTAGTGTTCTCCACAGCCGCAAACTTATCAACAGAGAGGTCAACAACAGAGAAGACAGAAAGACGGGAATCCATATAGAATATATGACATATTTCCATACCTTATGGTCATTTGTTCTTGCATTTGCTCAAGCTTTATTTGGTGGAAACCCAATAGTTTGGATCTCGTTGTTTCTCCTTATCCAGATGGATTTGACCCCAATGTCAGATGTGTTTACCACGCTAGGACACCTGGCCATTCAATCAAAGACTTTGTGTTATTCAAAGATACAATTCAAGACTTTACTGATTCGGGGATGATTGCATTCACACCAGGGAAGAATGGGAATCATGTGCCCGAGTGAGCATCGATTCTACTAATGGTATTCTGAAGCAATAAGTCCATAGGAAGTCTTACCTCCTTAATATGACAATTTTCTAGTTTCATTCACATTCTCATTTGTAATCTTTCTTGTTTGGTTCAGTACTTTCTTGTATGCAAAAATTGTTTATTTTCTGAATGGTAATCATAATGCATTGAATATAATTGTCTTGAATTAATGCATTCTCTATCACTCTTATTTGTTTTTTTTCTTTTGCTTTCAATACTCAACTCTTGTTTAATAAAGAAAGACCTCTTGAGGGAGGATGGAGAGAAATATACCAATAATCTTAAACAATATGATTTTGAGTAAAACCCCGCTGACGATGTACAAGCATTTTTTCAAATTCCTAAACACCGGAGATATAATGGAGATATACCCTTGTTAACCCCTTTGATCCTTGAAGTAGGAGTTTCTTTTCTTTTCAGAAAAAACCCTCACATTTAACCCGGGGAAGGGTAGATTTCAGTTAATCTGATCGAGCATTCAAATTTCAAAAAGGAGTGAACATTTGAGGATCACCACGCCTCATTCATCACCTATCAGGAGGATAAAATATGACAATACAACATTGGTTACCCCTTACCGACCAGAGAATAAGCAAGTCACAATTCTTACAGTAAGTCGAAAATGACTTGAAGTCACACGATGTGTCCAAAAGGAAAGAAAAGATAATGAATGAAAAAGAGAAGAAAGAAAAAGAAATAGTGCCCGCTAAGTGGAAAAACTTGAAAGAAAGTAACTTAGGCAAAACATAGGGCATCCCGCTGGACTTGAAAATCAAAATCAAAAAAATTGTCCAAGAAAAAGTTAGGGAAAGCGGAAAAGAAAAAGGAGAATCCTGAAAGGCAATAAAGGATTACAAAATAAAGATCATGATCAAAGAGAAAAGTCGTGTGCCAGAAACTCAAACGAAGCAAAGGTGAGTGACTGTCATGTCTAAGAAACCTCAATTGTCCGTCAACCATCATAAACTCATCTCGAGAGATGAGTGCGCGTATTGGGTTAACTGAATGTATGACTGGAGAACATCATGGAGAACGGGTGGGCACCAAATAACTTTGAGCCTTAAATTTTTTTATTCTAAAAACCGTGAACTAGGCTACGTTATAACCCTTAAAAGTCCTAACTGAAGCATGGGTTAATTCAAAAGAAAAAACTGTAACGAGAGTGCGGTAATCTGACTTCTAGGAGGCATGCTAAAACTTTTGAGTTGTTGTCATTCCATCTTTTTACTGTCTTTTCTACACACACAAAAATTTGATGTTTCAACATCTTTTCAATAAAAGTTTTCCACTTCAAGAAAAGCATAGGATTCCAATTAGAATTATCATTCACATAATAAAACATCTTTCTCATATGAAAAATTATTTAAACATCAAGTGAGCTTGCACAATGAGTATCAGTGAAGAGCTTAACCTTTCCAAAAAAGAGAGGCTTGAATACTCTATTGAATCAAAAGTTAGTTGATGCACAAGCAGTTTGGTGCTTTACAGTTTGAGTACCCTAAGGGGTATGCTTTCCAGAGACTCAGATAAGTATGAACAGTGTGATGCTTTACTGTTTGAGTACCCTTAATGGGAATGAAGTTTGCAGATTCTGCCAATATGGGGCAATTACATCGAGAAATCTCTTCAAAGTTTCGTCAATTTGGGGCAGTTATGTCAAGATTCAAGGAATATCTCAAAGTGGTTAGTAATCAGGGGGATTCTCCCAAGTGTTGTTAAATCCACTTCCCACTTTGTTTAGCCAAAAGCAGTGCTTCAAGGTTTGCAACACTGGGGCAGGTTATCTTGATGGTACAAATCTCAGGAAGTCCTCTCGAGGCAAGTTCTTCAACAGCCCTATAAACTGGGGCAAGGCATTATGCATGGGCATTCTTCCATTTCAGAGATGATCAGCCTAAGTCCAGTCGTAGGCTAAATACCTTATGAATGTGATCAGTTATCCTTAGCATAAATCTTAGGAAGTCCTCTCGAGGTGAATTTTTTCAAAGATCAAACAATTTGCAGCAGTTACGTCGAGATTTGACAAATCTCTCAATGAACCAAATGTGTAAGAGAACTATTTAGAGCATGAATGCACTGGGGAATTTTATCTTGAGTCAGTATGATACCATGTTTCTACAAGGACCTACTCAAGTGAAAATCCTTCGTGATATACTTAGGATACATTTGGAATTATCATTTGTTCTCTTATGTGTAATTCACCAATACCAGAACAACATCTTTCAAGATGACGATGGTATCCCCAACTTGGGTCATTTCCCCAGTAGCATTGAAGTTTCTACTTCTCACCAGTGATTCTTCCCCAAACAAAGGGATTATGGCCAAAAGTTTGACTGAGTTAGAGATTCTTGAATGATTCCCCAGTAATACTTGAATTTTCATCTCCCTAGTATCGCCAAGCGGAGAATCCTTATCTGATAGGTTGTGATTGATGAGATTTATTGGTATATAATCTACACCCCTAACGAATATATGATATTGTTGAGTTCACGGGAGAATGTTTATTCCCAGAAGCAGATATGTCTTATTCCCCAACCGAGGGTACCGATTGAGAATTTTCTTATTCCTTGCAGGGTTTCCTTTGAAGATTTCTCTTATTTCCCAGCAAAGTCACTTCATGAAGATTTCTTATTCAAGAATTCTCTCGTCTCCCTAGCGGAAGCTTTTCTTGATATTGCTTGTGCTAAGAATTGTTCATTTCTCCCAAGTTGAGTCATGTTGAAGATTATATCACTCCTCAGAAGAGACTGCTTTCTGAGATCTCTTGCTCAGGATCTTTTATCCTCCCCAGCTAAGTTGCCTTATGGAGATCTCTTATTCATGAATTTTCATTTCCCCGGATGAGTTGCTTAATTGAAAGATCTTATTCAAGGATTCTCCCTTTTCCCCAGTAGAGTTTGATCCTGGATGTTGATAAGTATCATATCCCCAGAGGATGGCGCTATCGTGACTTCTTACCCGAGGTTCCACATATCCCCTACATGCTCGTTCTTTTTGAAGATTGTTCGTAAATCCCCAGTTTAATTTCTTACGCCAAAGATGACCTCTTCTCCAGCAAGAGTTATGTGCATAAGTTCTCTTATCTCTGGAATTGGATCCTCATATCCCTGGTAGTACAAGTTTCTGTCATCCCCAGGCGAGAGGTTGACGAATTATTCCTCAGGCAGTTAGAGGTGACTTTTGATTCCATCCAGGCCCCATATTATTGGTATCTTCCACAACAACGCCCAATATTTATTTGGCGTCCCTTATCAGAGTTTAATGTTTTGATCTGATCTTCTTTAGCAGGGTTTTAAATTTATTTTTGCAACTCCCCTCAGAGTTTCTAACCCGTATTTACCAGATGCTCAGTTTGTTACTTCCCACAAATTTTC